GGACGGCTGCCCCGAGCTCTACGTGAAGCAGATCATGCGCATCCTGGCGCTGGGCCTGCGCCACTGTCACAACGCGGGCATCGCCCACCGGGACCTCAAGCCCGAGAACGTCCTCGTCTGCGGCGACCCGGAGAAGTGGGCGACCGGCGGCGCGACGGACGGCATCGTCAAGCTCTGCGACTTCGGCCTCTGCGCGACGATCACCGAGGGCGCCAAGCTCACGGACTTCGTCGGCAGCCCGGGCTTTTTCGCGCCGGAGCTCATGACGCGCAAGGAATACGACGGCGCCATCGCGGACATGTGGTCCCTCGGCGCCGTCATGGTCGAGATGGTCCTCGGCCACAACGACTTCGACGACCTCTGGTGCCCGCCCTGTCTTCGCGCCGCGTCCTTTTCGTGGTTTTCACCTTCAAACCCCCAACCCCCCGCCGCAGACGAGTTCCTCCACGACGTGAGCCTCTTCAAGCGCGGCATCCGCGAGTCGATCCACCGCGTCGAGCTCGGGTCGTGCGAGATGCCGCCGTCGGAGCCCGTGCGCCAGTGCTTCAAGATGCTCCTCCAGATGGAGCCCGAGTCGCGGTCGTCGATCCACCAGCTCTGCTCCGCGCCCTGGTTCGACCTGCTGGAGGCCAAGGCCGACGGCTCGCACGGCATGGTGCGGCTGACCTTCGACCGGACGTCGTTCACGACGGAGCTCGGCAAGGCGTCCGCGCCCAAGGGGCCCGTGGAGCGCCGCTTCGCCTACCGCTCCATCCCGACCATGGCCAAGCCGGGCCTCGAGACGATCCCGTCGTCGAACAACCTCTGCTCCGACTCCGACGCGGACGCGACGTCGCCCGTCAACGGCGACCACGAGCGCAAGTCGCTCACGCTGGGCCAGGTCCTCGACCCCGTCGACGACGTGCTGCGCTGCAAGACGCCGGAGACGCCCAAGTCGCCGACGAAGTTATCCGTCATCGCGCCCCCGGCCCAGGCCGAGGTCCCCGCGCAGTGAGGACCGCCCCCGACGCCCCGCGCGGAAGGCCGGGACCGGCCTTTTTTGTGGATTCTTTAGTACGAAACCCCGCCGGGCTAAAAACTAAAAAAAGCAACTCGACCGATTCCTCGAAAAAGCAACTCAAACAATCAGGCTGCGAGCAGCCCTTTTGCAGCGTCGATGGACGAAGTTCTCGTCTTCTCCAGCCCGTAGCTCGACGCAGGCGCATAGTTGCGCAACGATCCCCGCGGCTGCGAGGACCGGAACCCTGTCGCGGACACATTCCCCGCGGGATGTCACTCCCGAGGATTGCGTCGCATCGCGCGCGGGGCGTCCCAAGGGGTCGGAAGAGGGTTTTCGGCGTCCCCCGCACCCTTTTCGACCGTGTTCGAGCGCACGGAGCATCGGGAATCGTTCGTCTATGTACCGCGGGCGTCCCATTTGATCCGCTCGGCCATCGACGTCGAAAACATCGACTGCCAACTCGCGCATAGAAACGTGGCGCGGCAGCCCGAGCGGCCCCCACGTCCAGAAACGCGGTCTGGGCCGACACCACCGCCCGAGCCCCGTCCCCAGTATGTGTCCGGTGGGATCGAGTACATCTCCAGCGGTGGAGGGCCACCCCGCGGTGCCGATCTCGGCCGTTTCGTCGTCCCCATGGAGGCCCGGAACGCCGACTTCACGGCGTCGGCCGCTGCAGTAGGAAATGTGCTGAATCCGCCTCAGTGGCCCGAAGAACCCGTCCCATGCAATCACCTACTGCAGAGAGACACCTTCACCACTGCGGACTCGGCCACGCTCGGAGCGCGTCCATCGCGTGTAATTGCTTCAATAATCGCAACGATGCAGCTCCTGAGGTGTTGCTTTTGATATTTTTTAGCCCGGCGGGAACAGGGGGGGGGGGGCACAAGCGAGCGTCGCCCTAGAAGGCGGCGGCGACGGCGGCGTCGCCGAGCGCCCGGTAGAGCTGGACGTCGCCGCGGAGCGTGTTCTCCGCGACGCGGCGGCACGCGAGCGCGACGTCCGCGCGGCTGGCGGCCGCCGCCGGCGACGCCGGCGCCGCGCGCGTCGCGCCGCCGCGGCGCGTCGCGAAGTCGATGTCGTCGAGCAGGGCGGGCAGGACCCGGCGCCGGAAGGACGCGGGCGGCGGGCCGCGCCGGAGCCGCGCGGCGACGGCGTTGACGCGGAGCGCGACGATGCGGAAGAGGGCCGCGACGGTGCGCCGCGGCGACCGCGCGAGGCTCGCCGTGAGCGACACCTCGCGCCGGAGCGGCGCCAAAGCCGCCGGGAGGTCCGGCGCGTCGACGAGGACGACGAGCTGCTCCTCGGCGCCGAGGCGCCGCAGGCACTGCGCGGACGCCCAGCGCGCGAGGGGCTCGCGCGCGCGCGCCCAGTCGTCGAAGTGGTCGCGGAGGCGGTCGCCGACGTCGAAGACCGTGCAGTGCTCGCGCTCGCAGGCGACCTCGACGACGGACGACTTGAGCGACTCGGCGAAGCGCGCGACGTCGCTCTTGACGAGCCGCGCGGCCGAGTCGAGCCACGGGAGGTTCGCGGCGGCCGACTCGAGCAGCGGCTCCGACGCGGCCGCGGCGCCGCGCGCGGCCGCGGCGAGCCAGCCGTCTTCGGCCAGCGGCGGCGCCTCCGACGTGGCCGCCGCGCCGCGCGCGGCCGCGGCGAGCCAGCCGTCTCCGACCAGCGGCGGCGCCTCGGCGGCGGACGGCGGTTGGATATGCGTGACGCCCGACGGCCGCGGCCGCCGGCCGGGAAGCTTGAAGGCGCCGACGCTCGTCGCGCAGGCGACGAGCGTTGCGGCGAAGACGAGCGAGCGCAGCGGCACGGCGACGGTGGAGCGGTGCGTCGCATGGCCGAAGTCGAGCACGAGGCCGCGGCGGCAGCAGATCTTCACGGATCGCGGCGTCATGCGCTCCACGAAAGACGACGGCTCGTGGGTGTCGTGCTTGGGTGTTGTCGTGAGGCTGAAGAGTGCTGGCTTTGCGGATGGGTTGCGCATGGGCGTGCTAGGTGGGTGCGACATGAGCATCGTTGAGGAGAGCAGCTGGATGTGGTCGAGAAGCAACGGAGGATTTTGCGCGGAGCGTTCAGCGATCATTTTTCCGAGACGCCTCCGTACGCCTCCAGACGCCTCCCTTACGAGAACGCGCCCAGCGCCCGCTTGCCCGCCTCGTAGACGTGCATGGTGATGCCGCAGGACGCGCCGAGCCAGAAGGCGCGCGCCGCGCTGCCGCGGAACATGGTCCCCGCGCCCTCGTGTCGGACCGCGTCCGCGACGACCTTCGGGAGCGACAGCCGCGTCTCGCTCGCGACCTGGACGCGCGTCTTGAGCCAGTCGACGGGCTGCGTCGCCGTGCCCGCGACGGCGCCCGAGAGCGAGCCCCAGGCCAGCGGCGCGTCGCCGCCCCACTTTGTGAACGCCGCGTAGGCGTGGAAGTAGATGGCGGAAAAAGGGCCGTAGGTCGCGAACGTCAGCAGAAAGCCGCGGTACATGCCGCGGAGACCGTCCCGCTCCAGCACGCCGCGCACGGCCGCGGGCACCGACGCGCCCTCGGCCTCGCGGCCGACCATGAACCGCTGCTTCATGATGTCGTAGGGGATGTAGATCGGGTTCGCCGTCGCCTCCGCGGAGAAGCCCGCGAGCAGCTCCGACTCCGCGGTGCGCGACCAGTACTCGTAGGCGCCGAAGTACAACGCGTAGGCCGTCGGCGCGAAGTACGGCACGCAGGCGTAGCCGCGGAAGAGCCGCCGCGCGGGCAGCTCGCGGAAGATCGCGGCGAGCGCCCGCAGCGGGTGCGCCGGTAGCGGCGGCGCGGTCGTCGGCCGCGGCGCGTTGAGGTTGGCGCGCGCGAGGTCCAGCGGGTAGAGGAGCGTGTCGCAGACGAGGCCCGCGGCGGCGCCGGCGGCGCCGCACTTGAGCAGGTCCAGCTCCATCGCTTCGCACGGCCACGGAGCGCTCGCGCTGTCACGGCGCGCTGCAGCGATGGCCGAGCTCTCGCGCTGCCACGGAGCGCTGCGCGCTGGAAGTGGAGATCAAACTCGCCGGCGTAAGCGACGCTCGGCGCCTCCCATATCGATCGGCGCGCTGCGACAGCCTGCAACTTGAAGGAAAGGAGCAGTACGAAAATGCTCTTGTAACGAGAGAAGGCGAAATTAGACCGCGAAGAGGCGCCCTACATCATGGCGGGCGCGGCCATCTTCGTGGCCAAGTCCGTGAGCGCGTCGGCGTCGCGGATGCGGGAGCCGACGTTGTGGGACTCGTTGAAGGACTTGTTGAAGTTCTTCGCGGACTCGGCGCCGAAGGTCATGGGCGCGTCGGCCTCCTTGAAGCCGCCCGCGTCGTCGGGCACGAAGGTCTTGACCTTGGCGTCGATGCCCAAGTCGCGGAGCGCCGCGTAGGCGACGTCGACGTTCGTCTGCGAAACCGCGGCGGCGTCGCGGAGCGCGGCCTCCGCGCCGGCGTCGAGCAGGGGCTGCTTGAACTCCGGCGACCGGCCCACGAAGTTGCGCAGCGCCAACGCGCCCTGGCGCATGAGGCCCGCGTGGGCCTTGTGGTGCGTCATCGCGTGGATAACGAGCGTGCCGCCGTTCCGACCCTCGACGATGAGCGTGCCGTTCTTCGGGCGCCGCAACGCCATCTGCGCGAGGCAGGCGACGACGTGCTCGCAGAGGACGGCGTCGTCCTTCAAAAAGCGCTCCA